GCTGCCGTTTACCGTAACGAAGCACTGTTTGGACATGATTTGGTCTCCTAAGCCTTCTTCAATCATTTCAGTTTCGTTGGGGAACCGTAACACCTAGTGGTAGGTCAATGCCACCGCTCGCATGGTGTGCAACCATGCTCTTCCCAAGATTATGTTGTAAGTGGAAGGGACTTTCAATACCTAAAATTCCACTTGTTTTGTCATCGTTCTTGCTTTGACTGGCAGAATTATCTTACCAACCGGCCATTCTAGCATTGAGTTGAAGCCGACTAGGGGAGATGTTGCGGGTGCTAAGTCTTTGTCCTTCAATTTTAGTTGCTTAAAGGTCTCATAGTACATTATCTCGCATGAGCTCCCTTGATCAATTAGAATCCACTCGATGTCAAAATTCTTGATGCGTAGAGTAACCACCAATGCGTTGTTGTACGGGCTTTGTAACCTTGCTAAGTCTTTGTCAGAAGAGGTGATGATGTTCATTGCCTCCGTTTTTTCCTTTTTCACAGTAGGTTGTGCACTTAGTACCTATCTCATGTGCTCAGCCTTTTTGATCATCTCTCTGAGTTCACATACTCATTTAGGTTCGATGATCCCATCTATTACATTGATTATGCCTTAGGGCCGACCGTCGACCGACATCCCATCTAGCCTGTTACGATCTTGGGGAGCTAGTTGTGTTCCCCCTTTAATATAATGGTACAGGTGGCCTGTGGCCACTAACTCCTCCAGATGTTGCCTTAATGGCATACAGTTTTCAGTTCGATGCCTTTTTTTATCATGGAAGGTGCAACGGTACCTATCATCATAGTTCTTGTGCGCTTTTCCCAACTTGGCTAGCCGCCGAACGAAGGGTTCATCGTGTATCTCGCTAAGAATCTGGTAGATAGGTTTATTAAATACCGTGGTGATGGCAGTGCGGACTCTTAACTTCCTTGCTTGGGGGTTCTCTCTGTTGGCTCGTCCGCCTCGCCCATTTTCGCTCAGTTGTTCTTCCCGCCCGACCGTGTTAACTTTTGTCGTAAGTTTTTTGTTTGACATCACTGTTGTGCCAATTTTTGCTTTGGTGCAAGCGACATCTTCTTCTACTCGGATGTGCTGATGCACTCTTTCTATTAGGGCCTCCATTGTGAGAGGTGGCATCATCATCATTGAATCCCTCAATTTATTGCCAGCCAGCAAACCTCGTTTGTACTGTGCGATAGCTAGGCTTGTAGGGCAATCTCAAATTTGATTAAAAGTCTCTCAATACCAGTTATTGTAAGACCTCAATGTTTCCTTCTCACCCATGTCTATAGAAAGAAGCTGGTGAATCTCCACTATTGTCTTGGTGTTCGTTCTGAATCTGGTCACAAATGCCTCCGCTAGTTGCACCCATGTAGCTATGCTACCTTCTGGCAACCTTTCAAACCATGTTAAACCCAGGTCACCAAGGTTGGAAGGAAACATGATACACATTAGAGCCTTGTTTTGCCGATACACAGCCATAACTTGGCGAAAGTGCATGTAGGGGTCTAACTTCCCCTCATAAGTAGTGAATTTGGGCTGGTGAAAGCCTGAGGGTAATGGTGCGTTCTCTATTGTCGGAACGAACGACGAGCTTTGCAACCTTGCTAATGCTTTGTATGTTGGTTCATAGGCAAGGCGTGGCTCTGGCATTCCAACCTCGACACTCCCATGTGTTATTGGAGCCAACCGTTGTAGCGCAGAGACTCTGCGGGGGTCACGAGCCTGAGTGTCTTCTCTCCTTCAAGCCCTTTCCTCTAGTACTGTACGCAGGTCTGCCGACCTAGGTAACTCTGTGTGCCTAGATGTTGTTTGGTGTGAATGCGAGGGCCAATAACTGCTTCCCTCCATATAAGACCTTTCAGTCCTCGTTCTCTCAGACCTGGAGTAACAAGTCCTGGAAGTCCTTGATTATGTATCGCCTGTCCTAAGACTTCTACTCAGCTTATGACGGTGTGACTTGCTTGTTACAATCTTCTGAGTGGTAAGAGCGTGTGTTGCCTTTGCGCCCCTCTTCTATTGCCACCCCTTTGCCCTTTATCTGGCGCTTCATTGTCTCCATGTCTGTCACCATCCTTTGTATCAATTCGTCTTGCTCCCTTACGCGATCTTCCAGAACCTGAGGATCCAACCTCCGTCTCTGCCTATCAGGGCTTTGAGAGCGACAAGGGCTTGAGCCTCGTCTCTCTCGTATGTCTCTCCGTGGGTTTCGTCACTAGGGATCTAATTCTACCATAGGTGGGATAAAAGGTAAACCTTCGCGCCTCTCACCTCCCTCCGAGGTCTGTCCATCAATAGCAGAATGTGGTAAGTCTTCATTGTGCGCCATAGATCTCTACTAAAGAGGAAACTTGATCAAAAGGTTTGTTCTTTGTGTGTCTTCCCACAGACGACACCAATTGTACGAGCACGAAATAATCTTCTCGTATAATCTTGTTGATTAGGTTTGCACTCCTCCAAACGTCGTCACTTTGTCACCTGAAAACACAAACGTGAGCTAGTCGACGGGTGTGTGCCGGAAACCTCTCCGATACCTAACTCAGCAAATAAACAATAGACACAAAAACTCTGTGTATTCTAGAATGAGAATTGTGATACATGTACATAAGTCTTGTCATGAGCTTTTGTAGATTCCACTTGGCACAATCCTAGTAGGACTTCAACTCTTCTTATAAGAGTGCTCCTAGGAATTATACTCCTAAGGATAATCTCTATTCTTAAAACACCCCTCCCATTGTCATTCAAACAAGATGGGTTGAATCCTTTTACCTCGACTGGTATCATACTCAACCGAACCATTACTTCTCCGTAATGCCCAAGGTAGTATCGAGGTAAATCTTCAAGCAGGACAGCGTGCTGCAAAGCCGCATTTAGCCTGGTCCGCTTTCCTATTAACACCTCGACCCTTCACAAGGTCTAGCGTTGGATAGATGGGTCAGAGCCTTTGCAACCTACTTCAGGGCTAGCTCGGTGCCTAAACGGTCTAGGACCACATTGTCCAAGCACCGACCTAAAAAACGAGAAGCTTGGCCCAGTAGGCCTAGTGTGGCCCAATTTAATCACATAAATTACCCTCTCAAATCTCAATAAGGATGGTGATCGGATAAATTGAGATTTTTTTCCTTATCTATTCATGAGTGATCAACATTCTTGATTATTATCTTTTTCTTCTAAAATAAAAAATTTAAAAAATTAGGTTTTCATAAAATATATTTTACCATTAAAGAAAATTACATTGATACTTTAAACTCAAAGACCCAATAACGTATTTGCTTGTATAATAAGATAGATAAATAGATAGATTACAACCTAGTCAACTAGTAAGATGTTTTGGCCTTAAGTATGTATTTTCGATTTCTATTTGTAACTAAAGTGGATAGGTTGCTGATTGATCTAGCACACAAACTTGCAAAATCTGTAACTTTCTTATCTTATGTTTAATATAGTCTCCTACTTTTGGTTCTAAAAAAAAAAAAAAAAGAACCTAGTATTAGTTGCCGAACTAATAAACATGAAAAAAAGAAAAAAAATTACAAAACAGTGAGAAATGGAATAACTATTTACCAAGAGATGAGGGTTCAACTTTTGATTTAATTTCTCTGTAAATAAAAAGTTACACCACCATGTTTTTGTAATTATTTTTAATCTTTTATACTGATTTGTAATTTCCTTCCAAAAAATGACCCCATTGATATATAGCAAGCAAATACAAATGAAGTAAAACAAATAGATTAATAAAATACAAAAAATAAAAAGCCAAGAAAAATGAGATTAACTGATTCAAACTCGAATGCTAAGCTTTACTGATTCAGTTTTATACACATTAGAATAGCATGAATGTGGGTTTTTGTCATGCTCGAAAACACTAGGGCCAACTCAGTTTTTATAACATATTAAAGGGTTGATCCATACCAAGCTTAATCTGAAAAAAATTCTTGAAAAGTTTGGGACAAGTGTTTTTCTGCAACCTAGTTAACAAAGTTAATTTCTGATACAGCAATGCTAGGTGGTCACAAATTCTGTGGCTCGAATGGCCCTAAACTGCCAAAACGACGTCGTTTTAGGTGCAAAACAAGCCAAAACGACGTCGTTTTAGCAATTTCGAGCCATTTGAGCCACAGAAATTGTGGCCACCAAACATTTTTCTTTCTAATATTACTCTAAAAGAGAATATTTGGCTAAGAAAATAGATAAAGAGAAAAATGCATAAATCTTACTCAACAAAATCCAAAAACCACAGAATTGGGACCTGCTCCTAATCTGCCTCATATGCTAACCATTTTCACCACCTTTTTTTCCCCCACTGAACTTGGAAACCCGCTATTTGTTTGCACACAATATCCCCCAATTTCCCAAACCCCTAAAAGATTAAAAGGGGTAAAAAAAACATAACAAAACAGAATAGAGTAAAATAAAAACATTCATATTAAATAGCTATGTGCAAAAATTATAGCACAAAGTCCACTTCACCCTTTGTAGTTCGGTTTTTTTTACAGTTTTGACCCCTTTTGTACTCCGCGTTCCTCCATTACTAATTGTCTTAATTGAAACGAAAAAAAAAAATTTGTGACCAATCCAACCACAGCCCCCAAAGCCACCTCTCCTGCCACTGCCACCCCCTTTCCCATTCCCGTCACCTAAGAATGTTCCTGCCATCTCCTCTCATCTCCCCGGGGTATACAGAAGATTAGTTTGGCACCATGACCCATCAAGTACTTGATGGTGGGCACACTAGCTCTAATTTACCATCTGTGATCTTCTTGTCATCCAACAGAACATTCAGACCAACCCTAACCACCACTCTGTGTATTGTTATGGGCTTATCTTACTTGCAGATTGTATACATATAACAGAGATTAGTCAAAAATATGTTAGTATTTACATTTTAGTTCAAAAGGCACGTAAGGGCTTTTTTTTTACTATTTCAAATGTCACAGAAGTTAAGTGAAAAAGGGTAAAAAGTATATGTAATTAGTATATTAGCCCAAAGACTCAACAAATCCATGAAAACAATCAAAATATTTCTGTTTCCGAATTTCTGACATTGAGAGACTAGATAATTAACACATAAAAAAGCACAAGCGAATGACTAGATAACACCAGATACATGTACAAGACTTCCATTGTTATTAGAAGAGTTTAGTCTTGCTTTTCTTTTTTTATACGTATGCTTCATATCCTCGTAAAGGCTCTAATAGTAATAACATTCATAGGACCATATAAAATCTAGAATAGCATAAATTGGTACCAAGCATTCAAGACACCATTACAAATCGAAAGAGATATCTCCAGCCCTTCAGCCACAGCAGGAACCACAGGCAGGAACGGAACCTGTGAGTTTAGCAAATAAATTTTTAATTGGTACATAAATTACAGAAACAAAACATTGATCACACTAAAAAAATCAGAAAACAAGAACTTACTGTGATCAATTCCTCGAACATTGTCTAATCCACGAGCTGGACCACGCGGACCACCGCCAGATGGACCACTTCCAGGACCTCCTGGACCCCCACCATCCCATTTCTTGCCTGAAGCCTTGCCTTTTCTATAAGTATCTGATTTTTCCTCCTGAAAGCATTTAATGAATAGAGATGAGTACTCAAAATCTGAACCGGTAAGAAGTCATAAATCAAAAATTGACTTACTGAAAACATTGTTGCAAAATACACGCCAATGATGTTAACAATGGCCCAGAAGAAATCAGCAAGTGTTCTCAACCTCCATATTGATCTCTTGGATTTCACAACACCTGAGGACAAATAGAATAATAAATTCAGTTCCCAAACAGAAAACTAATACTGGTGAGTAAATTTAGTGAATGGAATGTGATTTACTTCCAGAATAGGCATTTCTTCCCTCTGGAAAGATGTAGATTTCAATGACTCGACACCCCCCCCCCCCAAACAACCCACAGAGGAAAAAAAAAAAAAAGGGAAAAATAAAAAGAAGAAACATTGCAAAAAAAATTGCAAATGCAAATAACCTATGAAGTACAGACACGAATACAAACACGGGACATGGCAATTTTCAAAAATGGGACACAGACACGGCTGGGGACACGGCAATTTTTTTTATATATATTTAAACAAAATATATAATAAAAAATAAAAACAGAGCAAGGTTATAATAATATAATATGAATTATAATTCATACTACAATTATAATTATAATAATATCTGTGTTATAATTATAATTTATACTATATAATATCTATATCTAGGTTATATATATGTATACATAAACAGAGCTCGACGAGAGAGAGAGAGAGAGAGAGAGAGAGAGGAGAGAGAGAGAGAGAGAGAGAGAGAGAGAGAGAGAGAGAAGGCTGAAGGTCGAAGGTCGGAGCTTTAAACTCAACTGGTTAGGGCAAATACCAAGTACTCATCTCTTCTTTCCTCTCTTCTCTCTCCTCTTCTGTGTCCCTCTGCCGTGCCCCGCCTGGTATGTCCCACACCCAAAAAAAAAGGGGACACGCCGGCCATCCCCATTTCCGACACTGCTACGGCATTGAGTTTGCCGTGTCCATGTTTCACAGCAGATAACACATAAATATTTTTGTAAAGATCTGATAGAATCATTTAGGAAACATATTCACTTACAAGCTTTGACTCTAATGAACTACAGTCTTAAGAAATATAGACCACTATTTTTCCAGAAAAAAATTGTTACAAGAGAAAGGCTCTGGTGAACCTTTACTGACATGTTAAGCAAGGTAAAGCATAGATACAAAGGAAAGAGAATGCTTCTTATTCAAAAGCGCCCTATAATTAGTTTGTAGAAGAAAATTTTACCTAGCAACTCAAGAAAAATATTATTATAATGTTCATATTGCAAATTATTCTAAATGTAATGTCAACTCTCATTAGATTTGTCTTGAAAAACAGAATATCATCATCTAGATATGTAAGAATAAATTAATTATCACAGCTCTGCAAAAATATGACCCACTGAGCAAGTATATTGGCATAACACAAAATACATTCTCAGTAACCGAAATCAATCCAGCAATATAATGAAAAATATTTTCTACATTTTCTAATGAAAAATATTTTCTACAAAAAACTTTTTTAGAAAATATTTTCGGGTAGTGGTGGTGGTGGTACGAATGTTGAGGTGGAGGTGACAGTGGCAGTGGCAGTAGCGACGGTGATGGTGGCAATAGCCGTGGCGATGGTGGTGTCGTCGTGGAGGTGACAGTGGTGGGGGTAGCAGGGTGACATCGATAAAATTTTAGTCCGAAAAATAACTTTCCTCTTTTAAAAATAGAAACATTTTCTGCCTATATAAGTTTGTTTTCTGTCAACATGAAATATATTTTCTGTTGAATTTCGTTTTTCATTGTATCAAACAATACAAAATACAAAAAATATTTTTTAGAAAATATTTTCCGTCCAAACAAACGAAACTTTAGAGAATTTAACTGCTTTTAGCAAGATTTATTTATATTTTCAAATATAATTTCACACCAATAAATTAGAGTATATTCCTTGTTTTATTGTAAGATATTTTTTTTTTAATAAACATAATAGTTACCAAATGGTTTTTTTTTTTTTTTAACACGAGGCCAGATTAATTTCTGGGGGGCCATTAAATGATGAATTAAATTTTGAAGGGAAATTCGCGCTTTCCAAATTTCTTCAAGGTTCCGGATAGACGATTTGCCAAGAACATATACATATAAACAAGGGTGACATTGCACAAATAAAACCCTAATTTCAAAGAATCGATAGGATGTGAAGAACGATGAGTATTCAATTCAATCAAACAACAACAATAGAAAACTAAAGAGAGACAGAGAGAGAGAGAGAGAGTACCTCTCTCGACGTAAGGCATTGTATTGGAGCTCTTCTACCAGGGTATTCTTCGGTCTTCTCACCGAGGGAGAGGGAGAGGGAGAGAGAGAGAGAGAGAAATTTAACGTCAACCTTGGAAGAGTCACCGCTTCAAAACGACATGCTGAATGACGATTCAGTGTGGACGCCTTCACACTTTTAACCTACACACCCCCTATTGATCATTGCCGCGTACGGTGGAAAAACATTTAACCGTGTGGAACACGAACATGTCTACAAAATTTATGCCAAACATTGTTGTGGACAAATTATATTTTGCGTTTCATATAGAATTTTTTTTTTATTTTGATGCTTGAATTTTTTTTTTTTTAAACTTTAGTTCTTATATTATTCTAATTTTTTGTTAAGTTAATTTCGATTCAAGATTATCAAAAAAAAAAATGTCATGTTAACTATCACTTAACATAAAAAAAAATTAAATTTGTATTAAAATTTGAATTTATATCATATGTGTGAGTTATATATAATAAAGTACTTTTATATTATGTGATTGTTGATATATATATATTTTTTTGGTCTAATTTAAATATAAATTAGCTTTTAGAGTAATTGGAAAAAAAAAAAACTTTAAACAGTAAGGATGAACATGAAATAAAAAGTAAACTTTAAAGATCAAAGTGATAAAATATGTAAGGGATAAAAGTGTAATTTACCTATAAAATATTAAAATATTACTCTAAGATCGTTAAATAATGGGATTATTTACACGAAGACTCTTAAACTATTAAGAAATATAATTTTGACTCCTAAATTACAAAAACATGGATATCCTAAACTATTTAAATTTATCACTTTGCTCCAAAATTATAAAAATATACAAATAGATTCTTTAAACTATTTGCGTGTGTGAGGCATGATTTTATAATACTCATTCACTCCAAGCAACCCTTGAAAGATCCTAGCTCCGATGCCTGAAACAAGAAGAATACTCCGATTGAGGATATCAGAATTAGCACTCCATTGAGGAAGTCAGTTCTTGGTTAAGAGAAGAAGTACTTATATTTTAGTAAACTTGAGTGGTTTAAAACATATCTTCCTACTTTCAACTACCTTCCTTTTATATAGATCCTTCGCAGATATTTCTCCTATAGTTGTGATAGTTATCTCATGATCATTACTATGCCAAGGCTCTCATTCCCACCACACCTTCGAAAAGGGACAATTTGGGCCCACGTAAAATGAATTGATGTGCCAATCTGCTTCCACTACTCGGCGTCAGTGCTAATAAACGGTTAGCACCTCATATTCAACGTACATCTCAACCTCTCGGGGTCTACTTGGCGTCGAACTACTTAAGTCCAATGGGCCCAAGTTAAATTTGGCACACCAGTGATGGGTTTGAATGTGCTCTGTTTCCAGTTAGGAAATTCATGTACTCGGGCCCCATAGCGTGTTTCATTTTGATCAATTCCGTTACACTCCATTTGGATCGAAGGATTTGGTGAGAAGAGAAAAGAAAATAAATGGTAAGAATAGACAATTCCTTTACTTGTTTCGATAGCTAAGTAAGTGAGAAATATTGAGATATGATGAGAAAGGAATTCTCACCAAACCTACATGTTGTTTATCACCAAAAGTGTTGAGATTTGGTAAGAAAATAATTGAGTTTAATGAAAATTTTCTAAAATACTAAAATTACCCTTATGGAAAAATATAACTTATTATTATGAAAAGTTATTTTGATAAAATAAAATACAATAGTTTTCTTTCTTTTCTCGTATTTACTCTATCCAAATAAGATAAGTGAGAAAATAAGGCTCTGTTTGGTAGAGTTCTCCAAATATATTTTTACCCCCACTTTTGAATGTGTTATTTGTTTACAGTTTTCAAAAGTTAATTTAACATCCACTTTTGAAAATTCTTTCCAAGGCGGAAAAATTTGGGCTAACCAATCGTCCTCCCAAACATCCGATTGATTGACCAAAATAGAACTAATTTTTTTTTTATATATTTACAATTAGCACCTGTTATTTTTTATATTTTAAATAAAAAAATTCAGAATTTTTAAATTTTTTTATGAGTTTTGAATAGAATTTTGAGTTATGTGTTTGGTTATGAGCTGTAAGTTTTTTTTTATCAAATATCATATGTCATATCAAAAATTCTCTACTCAATTCAAAACTATTTTCAAAACTCATTCACCAAACAAATTTTCTACACTCAAATCATAATTTCAAAACTCACAAACTCAAAATACAACTCTATTCTCAAATCATATTTAGAAAACGCTATCAAACGCTACATAAATTTTCTTCTCTTTTATTCATCCAAATATAATGATAAGAAATCATATTCATTTTTTTTTCTCACCTCACATTACGATCCAACGGACTGTTAGGGAATTCAATTTATACACTTTTATAATTTATAAAATCTGTTTACACTATTACTATTTTATAATTTAAAGAATTAAAATAATAACTCTTAATGAGTTTTCATGTAAATAACTTTTAAATAATTTCCCTTGAACTTTCTGGCGTAGCGAATGATAACTTGCGACCTCACTTTAAAGGTGTGTTTGTAGAACAGGATAGCATATCTCAAATCAAAGCTGGCTCTATCATTTGACGTGTTTCTTTGATTCTGATTGGCTGGCATTAATTGCGGCTCAAACTCCACGGAATCCATACTTTTATATTTTAATAATTTACTTTATTATATCATATTTCATTTTTTATTTTTTATTTTAAGAAATCTAAAAAAAAAAATAGAATTTTGAGGAAATAATTACAAATGAGAAATTTTTAATTACCATGGTTTCACTATCTTAAAAAAAAAATTACCATGATTCAAAGAATAAATTTATGTATACAGAAATCAAATACAAAAAGAGACACAATACTTTGAGTGTGATCTACACATGTGGGGCTCACACGTAAGACTAACCCCTTTTGATAGAGTTATGCCGAATATTGTGTTTAATTTTTATATTTTTAGCATTATTGTGGTTCAAATAATGCTCAAATATAACGTCCAAAAGACTTAACATGGTTTTAGGATAGGTTCAAAAAAGTTGTTCCAAACTCAGCACTTTCAACCATTTTTTAGAAGAGCAATGCAACAGATCCCCAGTGGAGGTCTGACCCCCAGTGACGTGGCACAGCCTCATTGGCTGGAAAAAAATAATAATAATAATAATTTTTTTTTCCGTTCAATCAGGACCCTACACGCCCGACCCCCCGCACCCCCACTGGGGTCGGAGGCATTTCCTTTTTAGAATTTTTAAAAAATTGGATTGTTTTTAGTTTTTCAGCACTTGTTAAATGAATTATTTTATTTATTTATTTTTTTTTTTTTTGACAAACTGTGTGAACCCTAACTTGATCTTGATATTAACCTGACAATTTAATTTTATTAGAATTTTAGTAGTTAAAACACTCATAAAATAGTGAATCTACCCTCTGAACCTAAAACAAAGTATAGCACAGAGTAAAATTTGAAGCAACAATGCTAATAACTTAGATTATTTATTTGAAAATTACTCGGAAAAAGAAATTAAAGGATATACATCCATTATATGGTTCACACCCCCACTAAATTTAAATTTACACCACATAATCACTTTTGGAATAAAATTTAAAATAAATTTTCATAATTCATAGATATTTTAAATTCAAAATTATGGGTCTTAGTAATCCCTTATGAAATTTGTTCCTGGCACCATAAATTATTATTATTATATTTTCTACTATTATTATTTTTATTATTATTGGGAGTTGTTTGCTAAAGTAGTCCAAGCATGCATGATGACATGGGTAGGCTCATAAAAGTTACAGTCCACCATGGACAACTCGAGCCCACCACTTGGGGCCTAATACATAATCCAACTAATAAGGCCCAACACCATCCGGAAGTCAACATGGCATGAAAGACCAATGATATTCAGACACATGGCAAGTAAAGGGCAAGCCACATTAGCAGACAAAGATCTACAAAGTTATTATCACTGCACATCGCCATTAATACAGCCCCTTACTGCATTTATTACGACAACACCTTTCCGTCGAGACAGCACGCCCTCACCCTAAACAAGGTAAGCTACAACATAGACTTTTGGCCAAGGTGACAGGTCGGAAGGGACAACGAAATGATTACCAAAGGATATAAGCAAATGTTGAAGACAAGAAGAAGATTAAACTTTTCTATCTCTAATCTATCTACATACTCCACTCTTTCTCTCCAACTTGTTCGTCGAAGGATTCGCTGGGGGGCTCCCCGTTCCCCGTTGAACTCTTGTGCAGGTTCTCTGGTGGCCTTGGTCATTTGGATATTAGGCTTGAAGAGCGTGGATCAGTTCAACCCGTCCTACCATCATTACTGTATCATCAGTTGACACCGTCTGTGGGAACGCTTTGCTCCTTGCGCCAGTTGTGTTCATTGTCACCGAAGACCCTATCCCAATAACCCTTTCTTGATACCCATCAAAGTGTATGTCACGACTAGATCCATGGCTTCTCACCAAAATGTCGCTGACCACCAAGCCGACCCCCCCAATCCAAATAACCCACCACAGTATTTCATCGAGCTTATTAACAGCATCAACCGCATGGCCGAGCAAAACTAAGCCCTAATAAATGCTCTACTCCAAAGAAACCTACCTATGCCCCCTCGACCACCTCCAGATATTCTGCCCAACCAAGAACGAGCCCCAAGCCATACTATCCCGTAGCTCTATCCACCCAACTTGGAAGGCTTGCAACCTTCTCCTCCTAATATGAATCCCCTACCCCGGCCCCCGCATCCATCGCTCTTGGCACCAACCCCTAAAGGGGAGGCCAGTAGCGTCCAACCCCCGCTGTCTTTCGGTGGCGATAACATCCCTCTTTGGGATGCAAAACTCCGAGCCATGAAGCTCCAACTCCAAGGGGTCATGCAAAACATCCAGCATAAACCCTCTACCACAGCAAACTCACCATTTGTCGCCTCCATCTGGGACAAACCTCTACCCCCCAAGTTCAAAATGCCCACCATCGACTCTTTTGACGGCATGACAGACCCAGTCGACCATCTGGAGACCTATAGAACCCTCATGATCCTCCATGCATTCCCTGATGAGATCACGTGCGAGCTTTCCCTGTGACACTGAAGGGGTCAGCTCGGCTGTGGTTTAGCCAGTTACTAG